AGTGTGTGTGTGTGTGTGTATGTTATCGTCAAGTGGTCAACTACACAACAACAAAGTAAGCTGGTAGTTAGTACAAAATAAGTAGTAAATAAGTGTGTGTGTGTGTTTTGTTTGCTGAAGATCTCGTCAATAATTGTATGTGTGTGTCTGTTCGGTAGAAGCAGAAGACGATAAATAATTGCAGTAGAAAAATAGTGATACTTCAATGAAAGAGATAGGGAGAGGGGATATAATAGAAAAAAACAGTTCACGCAGACTCTGACGCAGAGATTGGAGTGACAAACATCGATCAAGAGATTATAGAAGATTGAGAAGAAAAAGAAGAAAAGAAAAGAGAAAAGTAAGGTAAGCTTGTATAAAAAAAAGAGGGCAATCAGAAAATCTGATTTGATCAAGAGAGAGCAAGAAAAAGAAAGAGAGGGCTGATGTACTTATAAATAATAAATATAAACAAATAGTAGTAAAGGCTGCAGGTAAAAGTTGCTGCTAGTTGGTAAATAGTAGTACAGGAGAGCGAAAGAAAGAGCAAAGAAGGAGCACTGCTGCTGATGATGTGGATGGTGGTGAGGATGAGGTGATGCGAAAAATGAGAGGGAGAGAGAGATTGTAAAAAAGGATGAAAAAGCGCCGCGCGGAATGAAAGAGCGAGTATGTCGAGTTGGTGTATAGTGCAAAGTGTATAGTGCAAGGTGAAATCGATTGACGCCCTCAAAGCAGATGAAAATGAGGTGGTGATGGCGGTGATGATGATGATATTGAGTAAAAACGATCGTTATGAATGAGTGCAAAGAGGTGCTGGGGGGGGGAGTACTCGAAAAGTTCAAGCGGTAAAAAAGCAGAGGATGGTCGAGTGTCACAGTAAAAAAGAGGGGGAAGGGGAACGGAGGGCAGGGAGTGGTATGTACATCACTGTAAGAGAAAAAGGTGGTGGTGGGCGGATTCGCACTGATACTCTGCAAAAAAAGTATAGAGAGGGTGTGTGCAGAGAGAGATTTGGTAGTGGAGTGGTAAGGCAAAGGTGGAGGAGATAGGAGAGATTCGGTTATTTCGTAGAGAGTCACACACAACACGACAGTGTGAGACAGCATTTGAACGCCATTGATTTTTTGGTAGTGTGGAGCGGGAGCGGGGGTTTGTGTCTTTGTACAGAGAAGGCTTTGACTACAGCAGATCTCTTTCACTTGGGCGCAAAGGGGTGCGGCATCGGCGGCACTGAACTGGCGGCTGCAGCGGCGGCGTGGTTCACCATCATTGCTGGGATTAATGAGCGCGGGGTGAGGGTGAGGGTGAAAGAGTGAAACGAAAACGTAGAACAGAAATTAGCAAAACATGCTGACGGTTTTTGTATTTCCACCTTATTAAAACCTTCTGCCTACACGTCTATCTATCTATCGCTAGAGTTGTGCATAATGGCATAAGGAGCCATAGAGTCTATCTCTTCTCTAAGGAATAAACATACCACTGTACGGATCGAAGATTGGATAGCCAAGGTTGGGCGGCGGAAGTGCATGTCGAGGTGGTGGTGGTGGTGGTGGTGGTGGTTGATGCTGCTGCTGTTGACTGACTGGCGGGAGGTGCATTCCTGGCTGTCCTGACACACCTCCACCTCCGGCCAACGTACTTCGAAGATCAGCGGAGGGCGGCAGTGGTCCTCCTGGGTGGCCACTGGCCGAAGAGAGGGGGAATGCTCCTCCTCCTCCTCCGCCATCCTGCTTACTCGGCGACTGCTTGTGGTAGCTGCCGGAGTGGTGGTGGTGGTGGTTGCTCAGGAGGTGGTGGTGGGCGTGGTGGTGCTGGTGCTGGTTCAGACCCAGCTGGTGATTCAGGTGGTGAGTAGGACTGTTGGAGGAGGGCGGCGAGAGAAGGCTGCTGCTGGAGCGGCCGTCTTTTGAGCTGCCGCTAAACTGCTGCTGATGAGAGTTTGAAGGGGCGTTCGAGGAAGAGGAGGAGGAGGAGGAGGACGCCTTCGGTGCCGTCGAGGTGGTCGGCGAGGGGGCGGCGGAAGTAGCAGAGGAAGATCGCTGCTGCAAAGGACTGTTGCCGTCCATTGAACTAGCACCTCCTCCACCACCTCCTCCACCTCCCGGACCGCCAAACCTTGCCTGAAGAAAGCCCGGATGATGTTGTGGTGGCGGTGGCGGTCCATAGGGTGAACCACCACCACCTCCTCCTCCACCTCCACTCGCCATGGCGCGGAGAAGGTCATAGTGCGTCGCCAGAGGATGCGCATGAGGATGGGCGTGATGACCGGGGAAAGTGTGCGGCGGCAGGTAGGCGGGATTGTAGTAGTAGCCGTTCGTANGGGTCCATAGGGTGAACCACCACCACCACCTCCTCCACCACCACCACTCGCCATGGCGCGGAGAAGGTCATAGTGCGTCGCCAGAGGATGCGCATGAGGATGGGCGTGATGACCGGGGAAAGTGTGCGGCGGCAGGTAGGCGGGATTGTAGTAGTAGCCGTTCGTAGGCGGCGGCGGACCGGTCGTTTCCATGGTCGGCTTCACGCCTTCATCTGCTGCACTGTTGCTGCCGCTGCTGCTGCTTGAGCTTTTGCTGGAGCTGTTGTTGTTGTTGTTGTTGTTGCTGCTGTTACTTCCGCCACCTCGATTATCCTGTTCTTGTTTGCCCATGTTCTTTGTATGCGGCGAGTGATGGGAGTGTTGTTGTTGTTGCTGCTGATGGTGGTGGTGATTGTTCTTTGAGGAACTTGAAGAGGAACTTCCCTGCTTCTCATGCTGCCTTGATGGTTTTGACTGCTGCTGCTGCTCAAAAGACTTTTCGATTGAACTTCCCGGTCCAAACTGATTCATAGTCTCCAGAAAGGACCGTTGCTGCTGTTGTTGCAACTGCTGCTGCTGCTGCTTCTGAGCATCCGAGTACAGCGGCCCCTGGTCAAAGGCAAAGTTCTGTATTCGATTCTTCAAGTTCTGCAGCTCTTGAATGGGCGGCTTATTACCACCACCACCACCACCACCACCACCGCTGCTGTTGTTGTTGTTGTTACTGAAGCCGTCATTGCCGTTCTTCTCAGCGCCACTGCTCTTGCTCATGTCCTGTTTGTCCTTGTTCGGACTGCCGCTCGAGGATTTGTGCTGATGAAACTGCTGATGAAAGAGCTGCTGATGCTGCTGCTCTAGATGCTGGAGCAGAGCAGGCTGAGCAAGTCCTGCTGCTGGCATTGGCAGTCCGGAGGCTCTATCGTATCGGTAGAACGGATAAAGGTCGGCCTCAGAGGCGCCATAGGCTGCCCTCGAAGACGGGTCATTAGGATTAGTATTAGGATTGCCGCCATTGGGCGTCCTGACCCCCAGTCCCGCTGCCGCCAGTGCTGCCTGCTGCTGCTGCTGAAAGTACTCCTCTGCCAGAGTGGTCGGCGGCAGGAAGGAAGGCCTCTGTCCGGGCGGAAAGAAGGGCGGAAAGGAGAAGCCGCCGCCACCGACGCCGCTGTGACTGGTCGGTGGAAACTGTTGTTGGAGGGAAAGCTGAGACGGTGGTGGTGGTGGCTGTTGTTGTGGTTGTTGTTGTTGTTGTGATGTCTGCATTTGTGACTGTGGCGTGAGTCCTTGCTGCGCAGTCGAAGAAGAGGACGCTGAAGATGTTGCCGTCCTATTCAACTCTGAAGTAGAGTTCTGCTGCTGCTGCTCAGCGGATGAGGAGGATGACAAAGGTGGAGGTTGTGGTAATTGTGAAGACGATGGTTGCTGCTGTTCCGAAAAGGAGGAAGAGTGAGGAGAGACCACTGCGGTGCTGCTTTGGTTTGCTGTACTGGATGACTGTGTCGATCCAAGCTCGTTATTATTATTGGTAGTGCTTCCTGCCGCAGAATTAGTTGAAGTGGGCTGATTCGGTTGCTGCTGCTGCTGCTGCTGCTGCTGCTCCGAGGCGTCATCGGAAATGTCCGAAAATGCGGGACTGCCGACATTCAGGTGACTGCTGCTGCTGCCTTCATCGACGATCGTCGGACCACCACCACCACCACCAGCACCAAGTGGAGGAATATCACGCACAGGAGGTGGTGGTGGTTGAGTGACTCCATCGGTGCTCTCTCCCAGAGCGCTGCTAGCAGAATCTAAGGAGTTGAGAGCCTTGCCTCCATCGACCACTCCACCTGAAGCAGAAGACGAAGCAGCAGCAGCGCCCACATCGACCATGTCCGCCATCAGCGAGTCGGCGTCCTCCGAGAGAAGCANCCAGCACCAAGTGGAGGAATATCACGCACAGGAGGAGGTGGTGGTGGTTGAGTGACTCCATCGGTGCTCTCTCCCAGAGCGCTGCTAGCAGAATCTAAGGAGTTGAGAGCCTTGCCTCCATCGACCACTCCACCTGAAGCAGAAGACGAAGCAGCAGCAGCGCCCACATCGACCATGTCCGCCATCAGCGAGTCGGCGTCCTCCGAGAGAAGCAGCGGCAGGCTTCCGGCGGAATCCTCCTTTTCGCCCACCGTGGAGGAGGAGGAGGCCTCGGTGGTGGCCGCCGAGGCCCTGCTGCTGCTGCTGCTCTCCTGCGAGTCGTTGATGACGGTGAAGGCGCTGCCAAAGTGGGCGTGCGACTGGTGGTACTTCAGGCCGTTCATGTGCTTGTACTTCTTCGAGCAGTTCGGCTCCGGACACTCGATCAGCACCGGCGAACAGGCCGAGTGGCCACCGTCACCGGAGCTGGAGGTGCGACCTCGCTTCGAGCACTCGCCACTGCCGCCGCCGCCGTCCATTGAGGACAGATCGAGGTCACCGGGCCGGCCCTTTCGTTTGCTGTTGCTGTTGCTGCTGTTTCCAACCGAGTTGTTCAGGCTGTTGCCCAGTTGTCCAAAGCCGGTGAAGCCTGCGCTGTTGAGCTGCAGTCCTCCTCCAGAGGAGGACGATTCCTGCAGGCCACCACCCTTCGCCGGACTGACCGCCGGCACGTAGCCCGAGTTGGCCGTCCGCCGGCCCTTGCCGTTGCGCAGCTTGCTGGTGGTCACCGATCGCGTGTCAATGCCGGTCAGCAGGGAGCTGTCGCCGAAGCTGCCGCCGCCGCCCAGGCCACCGAGGCCACTGCCGCCGCCGCCAGCACCGGCACCACCGCCAGAGCCACCACCAGCGGAGGCGCCGCTGCGAGCCCGCTTTCCGCGGCTGCTCTTCCCCGACTTGGACTCCATATCACTGGTGGGCGACTCGCAGAAGCGCGGCGGCGCCCAGTCGTGCTTCGTACAGTCGAGCAGCGTGCCCACGTACGTCTTGCCGCGCCAGGTGACGTTCACCACGAGCACGCCTGTGCCGGAGAATTAGAACAAAAATGTTGTAAGTCAAATAGCATAGCATTGAAGCTAAGCAGCCCCTACCTCCTTCCGTCTCCTGCCAGACGATGCCCTCCAGCGTGACGCTGGTCCCCGGCTCACAGGGCCCCAGGCAGTCCGGCTCGGTGAGCGTGGCGATGCTGGTTGAGGTGCCGACGCTGCGCTTCTCCGCAATGTTCTTGTCCACCTGCAAAGTAAAAATAAAACGTGGATATTTAAGTGCTTGTTTCACCAGCTTCAACTGCCTTAATCTCAAATCTTTCACTTACATCTCCCGCCCTGCTCTTCTTTGGATTAGTCGGATTGGAGGCGCTCGATGACCGACTGGTAAGTGCTGCCGCTGCTGCTGCAAATGAGGCGGCAGTCACTGTGTCATCAGTGGGCTTTTGGGAAATCACAGTTTGACTTGATGATGGTGAAATGGTGGAGGAGGAGGAAGGGGAAGAAGTCGCTGTGGCAGTTGCAGTGGAAGGCAGCAGCTTTCCCGTAGCTACTCCAACTGCAACAGCCGATGCTGATGAAAACTTTAAATTAGGTGGAATGCCGGGCGGTCGAAGGTGATTTGAGGAGGAGTTTGCTAGGACATCTAAAGGGTGAAATAAGAAGAAAAGTTAATCTCAAACTAAAATGCTTAGAAGAAGACAGTCAAGCGCACTACCTTTATCAAGCAGTGGCAACTGGTCATCAGTGGTCAGTGGTCCTCCACGAGAAGAGGGGACCACCAACTTCAACGAGGAGGCATTCGTGGTCGTCGTCGTCGTGGACAAGCCATGCTGCTGCTGCTGCTGCTGCTGCTGCTGCTGTTTCTCACCGCCCTTTCCGCCCTTTTCCTTCTTCTCTCGATGAGAACTTCCGCCCCCATTCTTGCTGCTGCTACTGCCGCCGCTTTTGCCACTGGAGTGCTTAGAGGAAGACTGCTTGTGTTGGCTACCACCACTGGAAGACGGCTGCGAGGTGCTCGGTGGGTAAGACGGTGCTGCTGCTGCTGCTATTGGTGGGAGTGGCAGCACTACGTTTGCTGCTGCTGCTGATGCTGCTGCTGTTTCAGCGGAGTTGTTGGCAAGGGTGGTGGCAGTGATCACAGAGCTAGATGAGGAGGAAGAAGAGGAGGAGGAGGAGGAGGAAGAGGAGGTGGGGTTTATCGCTGAAGAGCTGGAAGTGAAAGGGCTGGAATTTGAAGGTCCTAGTGCAGGTGGTGGTGGTACTGCTGCTGCTGCTGCTGCTGCTGCTGCTACAGCTGTCCTCTTTTTGCTGCTGTGATTGAGAGCGGTGGCTGAAAGTGGTGGTGGTGGAACTAAATTACCACTGGCTGAAAGAGTAGAAAGAGTAGGCGGCTGTTTGCCACCAACTAAAGCAGTGGTCGGCGAGTTTTTAGCGAGCAAGTCAGCGGCGGCGGCGGTGGCGGCGGCAGCTGCAGCCGTCGTCGCCGTGCTGATGACAATCTCGTGCTTCGTCTCGCTGACGCCGCCCTTGCCGCCGATGCTCTTTCGCTTGATCTTCATCTTCAGGCCCTTGTTGCTGTCCACCGTGGCGTGGTGCTCCACGTGCGAGGAGGAGGAGGAGGTGGAGTTTTTCCCCGCTGAAGAGGAGGAGGAGGAAGAAGATGAGGTAGCCCCCAGCGATGCTGGTGAAGCAGTCGAGGCAGAAGCGGTACCACCGACGACTGGGGCTGGTGCTGCTAACGGACTTCCAGAGGAGTTGTTAGTCCCTCGGTGGTGATGACCACCACCGTGGTGGCCCCCACTGCCATGGTTGTTCGCCGTACTGTTCGCACTGCTGCTGGTGGTGCCATTGGTACAGGCGGAAATGCCGGAAGCTGCAGAAAGAGCTGAAGAATTGTTGATAACCGCTGCTGTTGCCCCAACTACTGCTGCCAAACTGCTGGCGCTGCTGCTGCTGCTGCCTAGAGCACTGGCAGTGATAGCCGCCGTTTTCCCAACTGCAGGGACTGCGGTGGCAGCTGAACTTGCACCAGAGAGGGAAGAAGCGGAGGAGGAGCTGGATCGACTCGATTTAAGGTTACTCGAAGACATTACAGGCGGAGATGATGATGCTGCGGCGGCGGCAGCTGAGCTTGTAGATGTGACTGGCTCACTGCAAAGCTTTGAAGCGGAAGAGGAGGGGCTGGAGTTATCACTGGAGGAGGAGGAGGTGGTGGTGGTGGAGGCACTGTCAGCCACCGAGGTCGTCGTGGTCGTCGTCGCGGTCTTGTCACCCTCGCTCTGCTCGATGTCTGCATCCAAGTCGATAATCAGATCGCCGATGCTAATATCCCATTCGTTGTAGTCATCGTCAAAGTTGTTGTTGTTGTTGTTGTTGTTGTTATTGCTGCTGCTGGTGTTATTGTTTGCCGGAGTGGAAGAAGTACTATTGCTTTGGGAAGTGCTGCTGTTGCCGACGGCAAAGGCAATGGGCGGAGTGCTGTTGGCGCCGCTGCTGCTGCTGCTGCTGCTAGGATTCTTGCTGGCGCCACTCGAGGTGGCCGATGAGGATGAGGATGAGGCTTTCTTTCCACTCGATGAAGGTTTGTGGTGATGATGACGATGATGATGATGCTGCTGGTGGTGGTGGTGGTGGTGGTGATGCTGTCGATCAGCAGCAGCTGCGGCGGCGGCGGCTTTGACCGAGGTTGATGAAGTCGACGTCAAAGTCGAAGATGAAGATGAGGTGGATGAGGTGGTGGGGGTGGTGGAAGAGGCGGGTGAATGATGTGTCTTGTGCTGCGGCTGATGATGCTGATGCTCCAACTGGCCAACCTTATTTCGGTGGCCCTCGGTGGTGCAGTCCTTCTCGGCGGTCTTCTCTTTCATTGAGGCTGCGGGCGGATCGGCGCTGGATGACACCGCTGATGGTGGGCAGCATCGAGCAGGCACCTTCAAGGAGGGTGAAGCGGGCAACCACGGCAGACAACGGCAGTAGTACGCGACCGACAGGAGAGTTGGTCATCCGAATAATCAGATCTGAAGAAAGAGGTAGGTAAACGAAATGCTGATGCTTCCAAAAAGGAAAATGTGACGAGGATTGGTAGGTAAAGGCTTGAACTTCTGGTGCGTTTGAGAGCCTCAGCGAAAAACAGAGAGGAGGTAGTGTGAGGAAGGCTTAGATTTGAGATAAGATTTGAGAAGGTGGTGCTGGTGCACTCGAAGCGGTACTTCTGTGTACTTCAGGGTGAGGAAGACTGATGGATGATTGAAAGACTGACGGGATTTAGAGGGCGAGAAAGAGAAATAGAACCAAAGGGGAGCGAGCTGACGTTGATTTGTACTCTGCAGAATAGGAGGGCAATGGCGACAACGACGTTGCTACTGCTGCTGCTGCTGCTCAGGAATCCTCCGTAGACGATGAGGAAAAGGGGGTTCTTTTTTTGCTACTTTGGTTTGTACTTTGAGTCGTGGTGATGGCGGCGGCGGCAATGCTAATGCATCAGCAACGATCTTCACCCTCCTCCTGATCATCTCCCTCTTCTTCTTCCCATTCAGTGAAGAAGGAGGAATGCAATTCCCTCTGGCTAAAGTCCACCGCCGTTCGGCTTCGTCGTCTGCCACTTCGATACTCTAGCAAAGAGGTGATGATGCAGATGGTGATGATGATGTTAGCGCTCCAGAGACGGCGGTGGCGGTGGAGGGGAAGGAGGAGTTGTAGGGTGACGACAACAACCAAAACAATAATCGATCGACGTCTGGTGTGGTGCTGATGGCGGTGGTGGTGGTGGTGGTGGTGGTGATGCTCAGTTCCACATCAAAACAGAGTCGCCTGAAGAGTAGAGGAAGAACAGAGAACAGAGGGAAAGAGAGGGAGAGCAGGGATATTGTCTGTAATGTAAGTGTATGAATCTCTCTCTCTCTCTCTCTTTCACTGTCTGTGTGTGTGTCCGTAGACAAATAAACTGGCTACATAGTCAAAGGCTCCTCTATCTGGCTGCTGCTGCCGCTGCTGCTCGAAACTTGCGTAGAGGACGTACGAGTACTTCGGCGGCGGCGGTCGTCGCTGCCGCCGTCGCCGCCAAACAACAGAAGCCAGCCAGCCTGGCCTGGCCTGGCCTGGCCAGCTAGCTAGCCTGCTAGCTTTGCTGCCTGCTTCTTCTTTTCTGCCCAGACCATCGATGGCCGCCGCCGCCGCCGCCGGCCATCCGGACAGCCGCGCACCATGGTGCTGGGGCCTGGAACTACCTACCTTGGAACTACTACTTTCTATTGAACTCAAACGAGTCCATCTTGATTTTTCCCATTTAGAATTCAAAGCTCTCCTAATGTTCTATTTCTCGGTCTGATGAAGATGCCCCCTCCCTCCCCTCCATCCGCCCCTTTCCGGTCTTTTCCCATTTCGAAGCAGCTAAACCTCCTTTGCACTTTCGGCCGGTGTCGGCCGGTGTCTCCTCTGAAGTGCCGGTGTGTGCCTCGGAAGATCGTCTGCCGATCTCTGTTACTCTGTTTCACTGTGTGGGAAGAGCAGCCGAAGCAGCCGAAGTGCAGACAGAGAGGAAGGCAGGCAGAGTGCACTGGCCGATCAGCGGCGCCCAACGCCCGGGCGTACTCTTGCTCTCCTCTCTTTCCTCTCTCTCTCTCCTCTCTCCTCTGCCGCACTACTACTGCCCTAAACTCCTCCACTCTTCGGGTTCAGTGGGCGCCAGACTGAACAAAAAGAGGAGGGAAAGGGAAGCCAAGGATTCTCTGCTCTCAAGACAAAGACCGTCTCTCTTTCTCTCAAGAGAGAGAGAGAGTGCCCTTTTAGATAGGGGGAAGGTGCTCTATCGGCTATATATAGCCATCCTCTGCTGCCACTGCACTGCACTCTCCTCAATGCTACACAATGTAATTTGTCATTCTCGGGAGAGCTGCTGATCTTTATTGGTCCTGATGATGAAGTTAGAGGAGGAGGAGGTGTTCCGGAGCTCCGGCTAATTTGGAGAAACTAGGAGTTTTGGAGTTTGTTCAGGGTTTTTCTAGTCCAGCTTTGTTTCATCAGCATTGTTATTCGGAAATGGCAAAAATGCTATTTGCTTTTGCAAGATGTTCAGTTTATGAAAGATAATTTCAAGTTTTAGCTCTAAAAACTCTTTGCTGAGACTACTTTTAACATTTTCCTAAGAATCCATTGCTGAACACAAAGTCCCACAAATGGAATCCACGATCGAGGATGAGAGATTTTCCGGTCCGCCATCAGGTGCCGCTGCGAGCAGCTAAGTGTGTCGAAAAAAAATACGAGTTTGCTGGCAAAAAAATGTTGTCGTACACGTCGTGTGCAGCAGCAGCAGTAGCAGCTGTGTCCACGCATCAACATCTGTTGACGTTGTTTTCTTGAGACAGGTATCCATCCATCCATTAAAGAAAGTCATCTTTGCGTAACCATCACCCACCCCCAGATCATCATCATCCCTTCATTGTTGAGTGATCACTTCAGAACACAGCACCAACAGCAACAGCAGCAACCATGGCCTCCAGCGAGTGGGAGGAGGTGAAGAAGCTGGCGATGGACTTCCAGCGAACGCAGCAGATGAGCTCGGTGCAGAAGTAAGCAAACTTTGAGAAGTCTTTCCAGTTTCAAAAAATTATCTCACCCCCTCCCCCTTTTCACTTTTCACCCAGACTCTCCGAGCGGAACTGCGTCGACATCGTCAAGCGGCTGATCGAGATGAAGCTGTTGGACGTCATCTTCACCAACGACGGCAAGGAGTACCTGACCGGGGATCAGCTGACGCGGGAGATCGAAAACGAACTCTACGCGGCCGGCGGCCGGGTGGCCATCTCCGAGCTGGTCGGCCTCCTCAACGTCGACTACAGCCACATCGAGGCGAAGGCTCACCAGCTGGTGCGGACGGCCAGCGGCGGCGAGGCGGTGAGCCTCGTCCTCGAGCAGCTAATTAGCCGCGACTTCAAGGACGCCCTCGCCGCGGAGATCGACCTGCACCTGCAGGAGGCGGGCACGGTGGCCGTCTCGGAGCTGTCGAAGAGCTACGACCTGCCGGCGGAGTTTCTCCTCAACCTCCTGGAGGAGCGGCTCGACGTGCTGGTGAAGGGGAAGCTGGACCGGGAGGCGCGCGTCCTCTACACCCACGACTACCTGGCGCGCTTCGAGGCGAAGGTCATCGGCGTCTTCAGCGCACTGACGCGGCCCATCGCCCTGCAGACGGTGGTCAATCGGTACGGCATCGCCGAGAAGATTCTCACCGGTAAGGGGTCGTTTATACACAGCTCCATTTCTATTTCTATTTGTTTCTACCTTCTAACCTCGGTACTTTCCGGGCCACTTTCAGCCACCCTCGAGACGCTGCTCAGCAGGCGACGCATCCTCGGCACCGTCTCCGGGCCGACCTTCATTCCCGAGGTGTACTCGAAGACGCAGCAGGAGTACGTGGTCAGCTTCTACAAGCACAACCGCTACCTCGACTACTCGACGCTGGCGAAGCTGGGCATCTCCAACGGCCGGGCCTTCCTCGAGAAGAAGTTTGGCGGTGGTGGTGGCACAAACTCCTCCTCCTCCTCCTCTGAGCTGATCTACCTGAACCACTGTGCCGTAGACCGCCTGTTGGCCTTTCAGATTGAGACCACGGCGGAGGAGGTGGTGGCCAGCGGCTCCTTTGCCCACCTCCTCGACATTCTCCCCTCGGTGCTGACCGCCGCCGATGCGGAGCTGCTCATTCGGCGGACGCTGGAGACGGGCGGCAATAAAGCTCTTCTAGAGAAGGAGTGCGTCCTCCTCGAGGACGGCGGCATCCTCGTCAGTCGGCAGTTCCTCGAACGGGCAAAGGAGTTCTTCGCCGAGGAGCGGCAGAAGCGGGCAGAGGCCGCCCTGAGGAACGGCCACCTCCTGACGTACTTCTCAAAGACGGCGGCGGCCACGAAAAACCAAGCCTCTTCTTCCTCGAAGAGCGCCATCGAGGAGAAGCACTCCAAAGGAGGAGGAGACACTGAAGGTCCATCCACCGGCGGCAAAAAAGGCGGCAAAAAGGGAAGTGGCGGCGGCGGCGGCGGCAGCGGCAACGCCCAGGGCCGGGAAGTGAAGACCAAGGCGGTGAAGAAGAAGTACAAGACTGGTGGCAAGGGAGGAGGTCGAGGCGGTGGCGACGATGACGATGACGACGATCAGAACTCCTCCTCAAAGAAGGCCGCCCTGGTCTTCATGTCGCTGGAGGAGATCACCCAGCTGCTGAGCAAGAAGTTGGCCGCCGAAAGGAAGGGAACGGCAAACAGAAATGAAGAGATGGAGGGAGGAGGCGGGGGCGAGGAGGTCTCTGAGGCGCTGGTGGAGGGCGTGGCGGCGCTGATCGCCGAGGACCTGCAGCGCGCCTACGAGGCGACGGCGCGGGAGGTCTTTGTCTCGGCGAGTGCGGCGGCGGCGGCCAACCAGCCGAAGCGACTGTCCTTCGCCGAGCTGCAGAAGGCCACCGTGGAGGCGTACGCGCAGATACTGCTCTTCGACAAGGGCATCCAGGTCTTTGAGTCGGGTAAGTGTGGGAGAGAACTTTTTTTTTGCAAAGCGATTTACAAAGCATCTTAAGCATCTAAATCTGTTGTCTGTTTGTCTTTCTTTGTCTTTCTGTTCTTCCCCAGTGGACCTCAAGTCGAAGCTGGTCAGGTACCTTCAGCGGACGCTCTGCGCTGACCTGGTCAACAGTCTGCTCGCCTACTTTGCATTCTCTTCCACTGACCACCAACAACAGCAACAACAAGGTGACCAACAAGGTCCTCAAACGAACACCAATGAAGGCCGCGCCAAGGTGATTGGCCGCATCGGCGACGCGGAGGTGCGCGACTGCCTGAGTCGGCTGAACAGCGCCCTCGCCGCTGCGGAGATCGCCACCTTCCTCGCCGAACTCGAGGCCGCCTGCCCTCGTCTGGACATTCTCCTGGCGAAGAAGAAGGGCGTCGAGAGGCGTCGCGAGAAGGTGCTGCTCTCCGAGCACCGCCAGCTGCTGCTCCTGCAGCTGCAGGAGGTCGGTGAGCAGCAGTCTGAGACCCGGGACCCGATTCTGGGGCTGCACATCGCGGTGATGCTCGTCTTCCAGGCGACGCACGAGGCGATGCTGCACACCAGCGGCAAGCTGCTGCCCGCCATCCTGGCCACCCTCGCGCCGCCGCTGGTGCCCGCCGAGGTGTACACGCCGCTGAAGGCCAGCCAGGAGCTGGTGCTCTCCCTGGTGGCGGCCGCCAAGGAGGAGACGGCGAAGCGGCGGGAGATCACCGAACAGCTGCTGCGCCTCTTTGACGAGTACCGCCCCAAGGTGGTCGCCTACAGGCGGCCCAAGAAGGTCGAGGGAGGAGAGGAAGGGGAGGGGGAGGCAGTGGTCAAAGTGGCGGAGGAAGAGGAGTGAAAGTGGCGGAAAGGCCGGTGCAATCTAACCAACCAACCCTTTTTATTGTCCCATTTTGCAATGATCAAAACTTTGAGAATAAAGGCTTGTCAAAATGTCGATGATGCTTTTGGGGGGGGGGTTGACTTTTCGATCGACAGGTGGCGCAGTCATCGCCGCGTGAAAAGCATCACATGTTTTGTTTTGACTTGTTTTTCACGCCGCTTGTCTTTTTTTAGCGAGACTTTTTTCTTCGCAATCTTTCTTCCTTCTCCCTCGCCAAAGTGTTCCTTTTCCGCCACCCCATGGCTTCAAAGGAGGGAGATGCCGCTACTGATGCTCCTAACTCCCACCGTCTTGCCCATGACCTCTCCAATGCAGACGTGTGGAGGTCGACGGACATCAGCCTTCAGCCGCAGCAGCAGCAGCAGCAGCGCGTGGAGATCATCACCCCGAAGTTGATGACCACAACAGGTGATGGCTTAACTTCGATTGCCGCCGCAAACCGCATGAAAAAGTTCACTCCTGTTACCGCCAGCAACTCCATCAACAACAGCACCACCACCTTCTCGTCGCTCAAAATTCACCCCCAACTGGTGGAGGACCTGCGCCGATGTGGCTTCACCCGTCCCTCGCCCATTCAGTCGACGGCGCTTCCACTGGGTCGCCTGGGCATCGACCTGATCGCCCAGTCCAAGTCGGGCACCGGGAAGACGCTCGTCTTTGTCATCTGCGCCCTGGAGATGGTGCTCATCGAGGCGGAGGCTGCAGAAGACGCCGCCGCCGCCGCCTCAAAGCCGATGGCGATCATCGTCGCGCCGACGCGGGAGATTGCCCTGCAAATTGGCAGCATCATCGACGCGCTGACCAGCTGCTGGACCACCAGCTCCCGTGGTTTGCCCCCCTTCTCCTGCTACAAGGCCATCGGCGGCACCAAGGTGAGCGAACACCTCGGCCAGCTGGCCACCTCGGCGGTGGTCGTCGGCACACCGGGCCGCCTGTGCTGCCTCCTCGAGATGGACCTTCTCCCCGCCGCGGCCGTTCGCCTGCTGGTCCTCGACGAGTGCGACAAGCTGGTCGGCGAGGAGAGCTTCCGCCGGCAGATTGACAAGATCTACGGCCGCCTGCCGGCCAGCAAGCAGATGATCGTCACCTCGGCGACGCTCAGCGAGCCGCTGACGCTCTTCCTCGCCCGGTACATGGCCAACACTGCTGAAGATGGGGGCGGCGGCGGCCCGGCGCTGGTCCGCCTTGCCGCCGACAGCCCGGCGCTGGTGGGCGTCAGCCAGCTGGTGCACCGCACCGCCGGCCACCCCCTCGACTACCTCAACTTTGAGGCGAAGATCGGGCCGCTGGTGGCGCTGCTGCGGGCAATTACCTTTCGCCAGGCAGTGATCTTCAGCAACTACCAGACGAGGGCGAAGTACCTGCTGGAGCGGCTGCAGCAGCAGCAGCAGCAGCAAACCGACACCGGCGCTGTTGCTTCGAAAAGCAGCAAAGCAGACCGTCCTCTGTGGACGGCCGCTCTGATCAGCGGCGACATGGCGCAGCGGGAGCGCGCCGAGGCGATCGCCGCCTTTCGCCGCCACCGCGTCCGCCTCCTCATCTCCACCGACCTGACGGCGCGCGGCATCGACGTCGAGTCGGTCAACCTGGTGGTGAACGTCGACGTGCCCCTCGACGGCGAGACCTACCTGCACCGGGTGGGCCGGGCGGGCCGCTTCGGCTCCGCCGGCCTGGCCATCACACTGCTCGGCAATGAGGCGGACGTGGCCGCCTTTGAGGCGATTCGCGCCCAGTACCCGGGGCTGGAGGTGCGCCCACTGACCCTGCCGCTCACCGTCAGTCCCTGGGCGGTCTTCTACGAGGGCCGAGGACTGGGAGGAGGACACAAGGGAGGCGTGGCAGTGGCGGACATTTGCAAGCAAGGAGGAGGGCTTCCCGTCAACGAGCTCTTTGCGGAGATGGTCGCCGGCATTGCCGAGCTGTCTGAAGAGGAGGAAGAAGAAGAGGAGGAATTCATTGGTCATAATCAAACAGCGGTCAAAGAAGAAGAGGGGGAAAAGGAGAGCGACAAACAATCGCCTGAGGTCGTCAGCGTCAGTCAGCGCCAGAGCGGCGACACCTTCACTGCCACCACCACCACCATCACCGACAACAACTTGAACTGTGATTTGCAAAGTACTACTATCGAGCTCGAAGACCATGAGTTGGAGAAGTGCTCCAGTGAAGACCGAGATGATGATGGACAGGCGGAGAAGGAGGAAAGTGATCTTCAAGTGGAGCAGCAGCAGCAGCCGTCAGCAGCAGCAGCCGTCTTCAATTTGTCGGAAGTGTCCGCTGTCCAGCTGCCAGCTGTCAACAGGAAAATCGGCAGGAACGGCAGCAGCAGCAGCAGCAACAACAGCAACAACAACAGCATTCACCTTGATCATCGTCAAGTTCACGTGCAACGACCGCCGCAGCCGCCGCCGACTTTGACGAGCACTTTGACGGCGACTGCAACCTCGGTGCAGCAGCAGCAGCAACAACAGCAACAACAACAGCATTCACCTTGATCATCGTCAAGTTCACGTGCAACGACCGCCGCAGCCGCCGCCGACTTTGACGAGCACTTTGACGGCGACTGCAACCTCGGTGCAGCAGCAGCAGCAGTTCAAGAACGCCTTTCTTCGCCCAATTTCTTCTCCTTTTGCTCCTTTCTCCTCCTTGAAGCCCTCCAATGTGGCCATTTGCAAGTATCTACTGCATGGTGGTGGTGGTGGTGGTGATCTTAATAACAAAAACATCAGTCCCCAGCATTACCAGCAACAACCTCATGCAAATATCAGCAGCCATCGATAACAGAGCAATTTTGTATCTCTCTACCTTCTCTGATCACCACCGCCATCATCATCACTATCGCAATCATCTAATAAAAGCCGCTGGCCAATTTATCGCTGTTGCTGCTGATGTACACTCTTCACACAATTCAGAGACTGACCACTGACCGTTATGCGAAAGAGAGAAAAGGAAAAAGAGAGGAAGAGTGGCGGCACAAGTTTGCGTCGGCCGTCCTCTCTCTCTCTCTCTCTCTCTCTCTCTCTCTCTCTCTCTCTCTCACCATTTCTCACCGTTTCTTCTTCTTCAACAAAAGCACAGCGGCAGCAACAGCGTCTCGAGGCCATCGAATGGGCGAAGCACTGAAAACGCTGAGATGCTGAAGCGCTTGATCTCATTTCATTTCACTACATCTCCCTCCCTCCCTCTCTCTCCCACCGCCTGAAGCAGCTTTGGAGCAGTCTCTCTTCTTCCTTGCTCACCTGTGTCTTCATGTTTTCTTGCCCAGCAAGTGCGTAATCGGCGATGAACGAGCTGGTGTTGTTGCTGCTGCTGCTGAGGCTCTATTGCCCTTCTTGGGAACGAAGAAGAAGTCAGCGAAGAAGAAGAGGATCCCACTGAGTACGATCTGAGCTGTTGTCGGCGACGACCACGAGAGTGTCTGTGATGGTGGTGGTGATCGACTGAGGAGGAGGAGATACTTTACTGGCTAAATTTGGCATCTCAACTCTTCTCAGAGTGCTTCTCCTGCTGCTGCCGCCTCAACTTCAGTGCCAACTTTGACGCTGCTCAACTTCTTTACCGTTCTGTCAGGCCGTCATTGTCTTTCCTTCTTCCTCTTTACGACGGTGTCATTGTGAGGATTACACCACCCTTCTCATTTTCAACTGAAATGGGCCCCCTCTTCAACGAAATGATTAGATAGCCTAGACAAGAATGGACTCCACTTCAACTGAGCGGCTGTCAACTTCGGTGGCAGCACAGTCCTCAGCAGCAACAGCAAAGCCGCCGCCAAAGATCAACTTGGAGCGCCTGCGAGGTCTTCTCCAGCAGCAGCGACGGCTCCTCAGTCACGCCGCCGCCCTGCAGCCACTCGCCAGCGGACGCAGCTTTAGTCAACCGGAGCTTAGAGCTACTGTTGAAGCAACGGCAACAACAACAACATCACCTGACGGCAACGACGAACTCCTTCTCGACTACAAGGCCTTCAGGGAGCAGCTTCTTGAGCAGGCGACGACGACGACGACCAAAGTCTTCAAAGCATTTCCCACCTCCTCCTCTAAAAGACCTTCTTGTGCTGTCTGTGGGTCGAAGCAAAACAAAAGTGACATTGCAGTGGAAAAATGTGAGGAAGATCCGCCGTACAGCGGAAAGTCCAGCTTGCGAACGGTGGACTATGACGCCCTGCGACTTCCAAATGGAAGTAGTCTCTACGATAGCACCAGTGATGACACCACTCCCCCGCTCTCTAGCAGCTGCAGTACTTCGACGCCTCCGGTGCCAAAGCCGAGGAAGAGTGTCCTCCACCGAAGAACTAAAAGAGTGGTAGTAGTTGTTGACAAGGGGATTACTGAAAAGCAAGAAGAAGTGAAAGCAGCGACAGTGCTTGAAGTGCTTCCAAATGGAGGAGTTCATAAAGAGCTGGCCACTGAGCCAAATTTGCCACCACCACAAAAGCCAGCCCTTCTTCCCTCACTGCTGATCCCCAGCGAGCAGACGACCATTCTGCCGAACGGGCAGTCAAGCAACCCAAACAACCACCACCACCACAACAACAACCTTCTTCTTCCTCGAAGCTGTCCACCTCCGAAAGCGAAGGTGAAGACCAAGGCGCACTCCTTTCGCCAGCAGCTGCTGCGCATCAATCGCATCGCCTCCAACAAGCTGCTCTCCATTCGCTTGAAGTCGACGGCCACGACCACCAGTGGGACAGAGCAGAGCAGTCAGCCGAGGCGGAAAAGGCTGTCTAGTCAACTCTTTTTCGGATTTAGTAACGGCGAGAAAAAGGAGCAACAGCAGCAGCAGCAGCCTTATCGACGACCCACGAGAACGCCTCCACCGACGCCCATTCTGATCTTCAGACCGCCGGCGCCGCTGCCCGGTGAACTGCCGTCCGGAGAGAAAGGAAGAGAAGAAGGAGGTGGTGATCACCACCAGGTGATGATATCATCTCCATCATCAACTTCAGCAGCAACAACGGCAGAGTTGAATAGCAACAGGTGGTGGCTGACCAACGGCTCAGCAGCCCAAAACCGGCACCGCTTCCTCCTCCTCGGACAGAGCAGCTCCTCGCCGAGCACTTTGTACGACTGTGAGGCTGGCAACCGTAATTTTGATAAAAATGACGACGAGGATGATGACATCAGCGAGCTGTACCACGACGCCGCCTTTCTTGAAGAAGTCGAAGAGGATGAGGATGAGGAAGCGGAGAAGGCAAAAGAGAGGGGCGGTGGTGAAAAGGGCAAACACGAGGACAGTGAGAGCATCTACTGCAGCGTCGACGAGTCAAACTATAAAGAAGAGGAAAAGGACGATAAAAGGGGCGTTGTTGATGATGAGGAGGCGGAGGCGGAGGAGGAGGACTACTACGACGACGGCGAGGAGTGCATCTACGAGGAGCTGTCCTCCTCACTCTACGAGGACGGCACCATCTACGAGGAGTACCTGGAACAGGAGGAGGAGGAGGAGGAGAACGTGTACGACAACGCCGATGTTGTCCTTCCGCCTCCGCCGCTGCCCCCGCTGCCTCCACCAAATGATCGCGAAAAAGAGGCCCGCGAAGAGGAGGAGGAGATGACCGCCTCGGAGCGGCAGCTGAAGAAGCGCCTGAAGAAGCTGGAGAAGGCGATGCGCCGCTTCCGGCTGACCGGCGAGGAGATTCCCCTCTCGGCGGGCATTGTCAAGCGCGACCAGCGAGGAACTACTTCGTCGTCGTCGGCAAATCGGCTTTCTCGCCTGCACGATAGCACGCGCCTGGTCAAGGCGCTGGTCCCTGGTCCGGGACATTCTGCTGCTGTTGCTGCTGAAGGAGGAGGAGGTATGCTGAAGGTGAGGGCCGGCGAGACGGTGCTCATCCTCCGCATCGAGGGCAACCCGCCCGGGCTGTGGCTGGGCAAGAATGAACGCTCCAAGATTGGCTACGTCGACTGCAACAACGTCTACTTTGACACTGAGTCCATCAAGGCGGTCATTACCGGCTTCCACAACAGCTAATCATCCTCCTTGGAGTTTGTTATCTTTATCTTTACTTGTTTTAAAACACTGTTGTGTAAATTAAAGTAGAGATTGTTTTGTTTGTTGCTGTGGTCGCACTGGTGAACAGCTCGGTGTGTGTTTATTTGCATTTGTTGTGGGCTAGGATGAGGAGGAGAAGGAGGAGGGAAAAGAAGAAGAAGAAACTGAAGGGCTGGTTCTTGAAGCTGTTGCTGGTGCCTTTCTTCTTCTGTTGGTGGTAGGGTGGAAAAAGAAGGAAAAAAAGTAGGAAGAATAAAAGGAAAGGGAAGGAGGGAGGGAGGGAGAAAGGGGATGTGAATGTAAAAAGTATTAAAGATCGAATCGGATAGATATATCTTTCTCTGGCTCTTCTGGCTCCATAATTCGCTGTCGTACAAACAATACTATTTTCGGGGGGAGGAGGAGGAGGAGGAGGAAAAGGAGGATAGGTGACCGGAAATGCCAAGGTCTACCTCCAAAGCTTCCTTTTCAGCATCAGTTGGACTTGATGAGCGCCGCAAAGACGCCCCACATGATCTCATTGCCGTTGCTGTGCCTCTGCGCCTCCGCCTCCATGTCCAGCTCCAGCAGCTCGCGCACTCGCCTCATCGCCACCTCGTAGTCGTCATCGGAGAGGGAGATGAAGGCGTTCTCCAGCACGTCGGAGGAGTGGCTGAGGAGGATGAGGGCCAGCGTGCGGCGGTCCATGCGGTGCGGGTCGTTGACCCACTTCGCCAGCAGCGCCTCCTGCACCTTGCGGATGAGCTTGTTCTTCAGCGTCGAGTTGATCAGCGGATGGGTGGTCATGTCGAAGAGGAAGAAGTTCTGCTTCTCGGTCGTCAGGACGCCCTTCTCCACGAGGTTCTTCGCGAGGCGCTCGCGGACGTTCTTCAGCTGGTAGCGGAGCTTCATCGGGTTCCACGTCTCACCTGGGGAAAGGTTTTTGGATTAGTTCAGGATGCCAGAAAAAACCTCCTCAAAAGGCAATCGCTGAAGTTTACCGCTGAGGTAGTCGACCCAGTTCTGCAGCGTCTCGGGCGTCTCCGTGTCGCGAATGTGCTTCAGCGCCTCGTCGAGCAGCGTGTCGCCGGTCAGCTCGGCGCTCTTCAGCACCACCTTCCGCAGGAGGAGGCTTCTTCTGCGGCCGACCACCTTCTCCAGCTCAATTTTATCACGCAGGGCGAGCTCAATGAGAATGCAGCCGCGCAGTCCGGTGGAGATGCAGTCATTCCAGAAGGAGGTGTATCCCTGGAAGAAAGTGTGAGGTTTAGAAATAGAAGCACATGATCATCACCGTGTGGTTTCCACTTTACCTCTTTGTCCTTAAGGCCGAGGAGGAGCACCTCCTCCATCAGGGTGAAACGAGTGTCCTTTGAGGCGTCATAGTCGCCGTTGAGGGAGGTAGGCTCACCGCCGTCGTGGTCCACGCCTGCTCCTCCTCCACCGCCGCCGCCGTCACTGTCCTGGTTGTTGCCCGTCCCGCCATTGCTGTTGTTATTTGCCACTCGTCGCTGAACGAGGCCATCACTTCGATGCATCCTCTCTCTATTGTTTCTACTGAGTAGAGTTGGCTATGATATATGTGTGTGTGTGTGTACTTCGATGAGCTTCTCGGTGGCTGATCACCAGAAATTAGGCGCTGTACACGTTGGCACGGTTGTGTGTTATTGTGTGTGTTGACGGTGTTGTGTTGGTGTTGGTTATGGTGATGACGGTGAGGAGTGGATGCGGTGGATGAAAGAGAGAGGTGGAGAGAACAATAAAATGGTAAAGTTCGAAAAGGTTTGCTGCTGTTGCAGCTGATGCTGCAGTTATGCAGTTATGCGGCTTACGCAATTAGCAGGTAGTACCACACCGTTTGTACCACAAACAACTCTGTCCAAGTGAAAGTTGGCGGTTCTAAATGGGTAAAGAACATGAAATAACCAGTTACAGCAATGTAAACACGCAGAGGCAGGTTGCCAGACAAAATAATAAACATCGAGACATACTCACCAAGTGATTTAAAACAACAACAACNCAAAATAATAAACATCGAGACATACTCACCAAGTAATTTAAAACAACAACAACAACAAAAATAAAATCTAGATCAACAGAAGAGAACTTGAAGGCTCAAGATGAAAGTTAGAACTGATGACGAAGATGAACAACAAAGTAGTAGGAAACGAAGGAGGAGGAGGAGGAAGAGCAGTATTGCCGAGTGAACCGTAAAGATTAGTAGTAGTAGTTAGTTGTAGATATCGTTGGCGAAGATTATCACATTGGGGATAGAAGAAGAAAGAAAGAGCACGCTGCACTTCGTTCAGCAAAGATTGACGCTAGATCAAGGGGAAGATGAAGATGAAAACAAGCACACCTTTTGACTTGTACAGTGTGCTCAGCTACGGCCTTCCTTCTTCTCTCTGAGCAGCTCAACCAGCACGTTTGAGCAGCAGCAGCAATCCAAGAAAGAAAGTGAAGTACAAGATACGGGAGGTGCTGTCTGGTTGGCTGCTGCTAATGATGANGCAGCTGATGCTGCAGTTATGCAGTTATGCGGCTTACGCAATTAGCAGGTAGTACCACACCGTTTGTACCACAAACAACTCTGTCCAAGTGAAAGTTGGCGGTTCTAAATGGGTAAAGAACATGAAATAACCAGTTACAGCAATGTAAACACGCAGAGGCAGGTTGCCAGACAAAATAATAAACATCGAGACATACTCACCAAGTGATTTAAAACAACAACAACAACCAAAATAAAATCTAGATCAACCGAAGAGAACTTAAAGGCTCGGGATGAAAGTTAAGGTAGAACTGATGAAGAAGGTGAACAACAATGTAGTAGGAAAAGAAGGAGGAGGAGGAGAAAGAGCAGTATTGCCGAGTGAACCGTAAAGATTAGTAGTAGTAGTAGTTAGTTGTAGATATCGTTGGCGAAGATTATCACATTGTGGGTAGAAGAAAGAAAGAAAGAGCACGCTGCACTTCGTTCAGCAAAGATTGACGCTAGATCAAGGGGAAGATGAAGACGAAAACAAGCGGCACACACACACCTTTTGACTTGTACAGTGTGCTCAGCTACGGCCTTCCTTCTTCTCTCTGAGCAGCTTAACCAGCACGTTTGAGCAGCAGCAGCAGCAGCAATCCAAGAAGAAAGAAAGAAAGAAAGCGAAGTACAAGATACGGGAGGTGCTGTCTGGTTGGCTGCTGCTAATGATGATGGCTGCAAGAAGGATGACGAGGATCACTGCTGCTGGTGCTGGTGTTGGTGATGTTGCTGCTGATACTGGTACTGGTACTGGTACACTGCTGCTGAGTAGTGCACTGCTGGCACTCGTCGTCTACTGTCGATACAAAACACAGTGTCGGCGTTGGTGATGATGCTTGTCTGCTGCTGATCAGAGCTGCTTGTCTGCTGGTGGTCACCAATAGATGAAGCCTTGATAAAGTGTGAAAGTGTGGTGCTCAGCTGTGCTTCAAGAAGACTGTGCATCAGCATCAGCAGCAGATTATGACTGGTGGTGATGTGGTGCTTCGGAGAAGAAGAAGCGGTGCTCAGAGAACTGGGAAGTGAGAGCGAGAGAATACAAGAGAAGGAAAGAGAGGAGAGCGAGGATCCTACGGATACCATCACAACACACACACAGAGACAGAAGAAGGCAGCAGTAGCAGAAGGAGAAAAAGGCAGCCAAATTGCACCTTTCACTGTCAATGCTTTTCAATGCTTTCCACTCAAACAGCAGCAGCGACTCAGAAGCTTAGGGCGGAAGGCGCCAGCAGATGGAGCAACACGATGGCCAAAAACATGATGAAACCAATGGAGCTACCTTTTTTGTCAGACTCATCTTTGGGGTAATAAAAAACGAAGATATGAACTTTTATTTACAAGAGTGAGTGAGAGAGGGGAGGGGAGGCAATGAAAAAGGTAATGAAGGAGGAGTTGAAGAAGAGAAAAAAAATAATAAATGGTAATAATGACAATCTGGAGAGGTGATCTGTGATCAACATGGTCTTGAAAAGGAGTCGGAGAGGAGACGATGAAAATGCACAGTGAGTCAAAACGATGCGTGTGTGTGTTTGGTTGGTGGTAGTGGTGGTGGTGAGTGTGCTTCTTTCTGTACACAAGATGAGTGCTGATGATGAATTGTGATGAGGCTCAAATGCGTGATAGGAGGGAGAGAGAGAGTATATCTGTCTGTCTGTCGGTCTGTACAGGGCGTGTGAGAATGGGTGATAGGGTATTTTTAAAAAAGATAATAAAAATAAATGGTTAAAGTTAAAGCTAGGCAAAAGAGGTCGTCAACGGTCTGGTTCTTGTCATGCCTTTCTTGTCTGATCATCATCATCATCAGGAGTAGCTGTAGCAGCAGTCTTGATCACCTTCATCTCCCTTGATCGGCAATCACCGCCAGACACTGGGCAATGGTTCGAGCTTCCTCGCGCCCCTCCGCTATCGAGATCTCACAGAGCTGCGGCTCAAAGAGCTCCAAAGATCTAAACAAACAAAAAGAAAGGGAGAGGGTAATTGTGGTGTTAGGGAAATATGCTACACACAAAGAGAGAGAACAGAAGCTTACTTCTTCACTAGATGAGATCGCTGCGCCAGGTTTCGCAGAATGAGCGCCGACGTCAGGCGAATGCTGACCGTCAGCGGACTAGGCGGCGGACCGGTGCTGGCTCCAGTGTCCTGCTGAGATTGTTTGCAAAAGGGGGAGAGAGAGAAAGAAGAAGATTAGATTTCTAGCTTGCATCAAACAGTGTTCTCCATTAGTGTTTCAGCCCACTTACAGCAAAGTTGGCCGCATGCCGTCTGATGGCGAGCATGGCGGCGTTCTGCGCGTATCCCGGATGTGCCGGCGGCGCCGCCAGCAGGATATTGGTCGTGCCCATCACCTGCAGCTGCCGCCGGCGCAGCAGCTCCTGCTTGAGGTTGTTTGCGTTGCAGTGAAAGTCCTGTGTCAAACGGCAAAGAAAGCATGTTACTAAAAGTCCATGATGATAAACACAAACCCAGCACTGCTCTTACCTGAAGGTGCGTCAGCAGTGACAGCTTCGGCCGCTTCGACAGACAGCCCGGTCCCTTGCCCTCCGGTCCGCCCCACTGGCAGCTGCTGACGGCGGGAAAGGCGGCCGTCATGATGTGCTCGCAGTGCACGTGGTAAAACACTTCAGAGGGACGGGCGAATTTTCTGGAGAGAAAAGTAAAGGAAGAAAGGTTAGCAAAGGTTTAACCAGGTGTTCCAACAGGAAAAAAGTTGATCACAACACTTACCGGCGACAGTCACCCCACTGGCACTCAAAGTCGAGTGGAGCCTCTACTTTGGGCGGCGTAGGGGCTGCTGCTGCTGCTGCTGGTGGAGGCGGTGCTTGAGCCTGGGTTTTTGGAGTTGCTGGAGTTGCTGCTGCTGCTGGGGGAGCTGAAGTGGCAGGAGCTGGAGGAGCTACGGCAGAAGGAGGCTGTTGAGCTGCTGCAGCCGGGGCAGTCGTCGTCAAAGTCTCAGCATTTCCCGTAGTAGCCGATTGCTTTTCCACCGGTACAGCACTCTTGACATTGGGGGTAGTAGTGGATTGGTCTACCGGAATCGGCCCATTAGTGACCACAGTAGGAGGAGGAGGAGGCGGTGTCACAGCCGGAACAGCCGTCTCACCACCACTCTTCGCCATGGTCCCATTCGCCACGACCACCTTCGCCTCGGCGAAGCCGTGGTTCGTGGCCACCTGCACTGCAGAGCCAGTAGTAGGCGTCCCTTTCGCCGTCTCCCCACTTCCGTCATTTTGTTCAGCCTGTGCTGCTGCTGCTGCAGCTGCCGTCTTCAGTCTCTTGGCGCTGGGCGGCCCCTCCTCCTTCTCATCCTCCGTTTCCGCTTCATCAGCTTCCTCTTTGGAGCTTTCCAGTGCGTGCTTGATGGCGCTGTTGCTGTTGGCGAGCTGCTGCTGCTTCTGCCCACAGCTGCCGCCGCCCACATCTCCGTTGACCAGTGGAGGAGCACTGTTGCTGCTGTTGTTGTTGTTCAGCTGTGGAGTGGAAGAGCTGGGTTGCTTGCCATCAACGACGCTGTTGTTGTTGTTGTTGTTGTTGGCAGCAGAAGGCTCAGTGGAGGCATTCGTCGCCGCCGTCATCGCCGGCCCTGGTTTGGTCGTGAGAACGTACATCTTTGGCTGCTGCTGTCCAGCAGAAGAAGAGACGGTCGACGTCTGAGAAGGAACGACAACGGCTGAGGCGGTCGTCGTCGTCGTTGAGGAGGAGGTATTTGAGGTACTTGAGGAATTGGCGGCAGAAGTAGTCGAAGAGGCGGAAGCAGCTGAAGGAAAGTCCGGCAGCTTGCCCTTGTCGAGGAGGACGTTCAGCAGGNTCCAGCAGCAACAGAAGAAGAGACGGTCGACGTCTGAGAAGGAACGACAACGGCTGAGGCGGTGGTCGTCGTCGTCGTCGTTGAGGAGGAGGAGGTATTTGAGGTACTTGAGGAATTGGCGGCAGAAGTAGTCGAAGAGGCGGAAGCGGCTGAAGGAAAGTCCGGCAGCTTGCCCTTGTCGAGGAGGACGTTCAGCAGGG